CATCGGGGCGGAGGGGAGCCTCAATTCTCCGGCATTACGCCATCAACGAGGCTACCCCTCAAAAGCCCCCTGGCCTGGAGCCTATCACAAAGGCTCCTTGGGGGTGTCACTTGAGGTGGCACCCCTCCAGGCTGCTGGCGTGCGAACCGCCCTTCCCTGTCTTGGGAAGAGCATCCACCATCGCTGTTCCATAGACTGGAAGTCCCCACTTGCCCATCCTTGACAGACCCCTTTGGAGTGCCTCACAATCCTCACTGGTTTTCACCACCCTGAACAACTTCATATCATCCGCAAATTTAGCCACTTCACTGCTTACTCCCAACTCCAAATCATTAATGGACAAGTTAAAAAGTAGTGGACCAAGTACTGATCCCTGCGGTACCCCACTGCTTATCACCCTCCACTGAGAAAATTGCCCATTTATACTCACTCTCTGTTTTAAGTGCTCCCTTTCAAACTGTCCCTCCTTACCTCCAGAAAATACCCTGGTGTTGCCACTATTGAAGGCTAGACAGAAGATGTTAGAATGATGTTCCCCTTTCAGTTGAATTGGCTTGACTCTGGAGGTGATTGCACGTTCCATATGCCAAAGTAGAACTCTCCGATCATCTCCACCTGTATGAAAGAGAACATGAGTATATGTAACAAAATTACAAAATACTACTAGTATTAATAGAATGTCTGTTGAAAGCACAGCTGGAGAAAAAAAACCACCCAAATATTATGTTGCTGGTAGGTAAGTGAAAAGTGATGTGTTAAGCCAAATCTTTTCACCATTGTCTGGTAGGACAACTAGCTTCTTTCTAGAAAAGAAGATTATGTTTATGTCACCTGGGAACACTTTCAGCATAAAGGCCAAGGGCTTTTAGCTTGCGGGACGGAAGTAAGGATATTTTATAGCGGAGTGGCCAAACTAGATTCATGTAAGAGCCACATAAAACATCGGATGTTTGAGAGCCACAAGACATGAACAAATATTATACACACGTTTCTATTGGAAAATATGCAAATTTGTTTTTTAATTAACATTAAAGGAGACTGTCAAAAATAAAAACAAAAGGGGGTAAAACAGATATTGATAATGATATTTATTTGTCTAAGAGAGAGAGAGAGATTGAAAGAATGAGAGAGGTGGAAGAGAGAAAAGAGAGAGAGAGAAAGGAAGGAAGGAAGATAGGAAAGAAGAGAGAGAGAGAGAGAGAGGTGGAAGGAGAGAGAGAAGAGAGAGAGAGAGAGAAAAGAAAGTCAATAGATGGGGAGGAAGGAAGGGAGAGAGAAAGAAAGAAAAGAAGGGAGAAAGAGAAAGGTGGAAAGAAAGAGGTTGAAAGAAAGCAAATAGATGGGGGAGGAAGGGAGGAAGGGGGAAGAGAGAGAAAGAGGTTGAAAGAAAGCAAATAACTAGGGAGGGAGGGAGGGGGAAGGGAAAGGTGGAAAGAAATCAACTTTAACTTCAAATGTGTTCTCCAACCCCCCTCCACACACACCCATGCCAGCTGGCTTGGACTGGAGGAGAGATTTAAAGAGACAATCGCCTTCTCCAAGCTGACTGACCGGGGGGGCAGGGGGTGGGGTTGAGAACACATTTAAAGTTGCATTCTTTCTCTGCTCCCCCCCCTCACCTCAAGCCTACTCAGGGAGGGGAACACTGGCTGGGGAAGGGATGACCGATCAGGGAGGCATGCCTCCCCTTCACTTTCCCAGCCACCCTGCTGGGAGCCACACAATATGTGTGAAAGAGCCACATGTGACTCCAGAGTCACAGTTTGGCCACCCCTTCCACCACCCACCATGACGGAGATCTGTGGAGCCAAGGGGCACAATTTGGGGGAGCATGACAGATTGCAGGGGGAGGGGTATGAGTGGAAAGGTTGCTTGTCATGCAGTGCAACTCTGTTCATATACTACAGGATCCAAGCCAAAGTCTTTTGTATGCTACTTAGTTCAGTACATGATCAAAGACAAAGGTTAACACTGTTATACATTTTTCCCAATACATTCTCCTATATTTACACCATGCTTAAATAATTTTTTTTAAAGTTCCAGCTAGCTTATAAAACACATCTTATTTTTATGGTGAATGAACAGGGAAGCCTGCCATGGGTAGTAACAACAAAGTCCTTTCACTAGACCTTAAGCCAGCATTTGTAAAGAGATTCAAGAACTAGCTGTGATTTTTTTGCTACTGAGCTTAATTCCAACATTATCCTTTATGGTGGGCTTCTTACAAACCATCTATATTTGATATTTTAGATATCAGCATACAACAGCAAGATATAAGACACCCAAAATAAGTGTATCAAGCATACAAGTATTTTGAACTTGCTTGTCTTGAACTATCAGCAAAAGCAAATAGGCCAAGGTCATGCCTGGAGCAGCACAACTCAAAGTGTTTTGAAAATCATCCATATGGCTGAATCTATGACCACAACTCACAATTGTGCTTTCATGTCCATATATTGAAATGTCAGAAACAACCCACAAAAAATTAAGAGCTCTATTTACAGCCTTTACAGGGCATCTGCACTTGTTTGCTAAGGCGTCAATGGACTTGTACAAGTTTCTCAAGAGAGCAGGATTTCAGTGATGTTTCCAAATTAGATCATACAATTTACCAGACATTACAAATTCAAAGTCACAATTCATTTCAGTATTTTCACTTTGATTTGAAAGCTTGCAGACAAACATTCAACATACTAAAATCAGAGAGAGAGAAAAGGATCCATTCAAACAGGCCAAATTAACAATGGTGTAGCAGATAACACTTTTAGACCAAACTGACATTCATCAACACCTTTCTACAAGGAAGGAGTACTCAAGAGCACAATCCTGGGCCCACAGCAAGATGATTCTTGTGCCCTTCTCTTTAGTGCAAAAGAAGGCTGAATGATCCTTATATTCAGCATTTATACCAGGCCTAGTCGCCAAGACTGAACATGGATATGTGTACCACTTACATAATCTTGGCCACTTAACAAAATATCAGAATACTTCCCTTCTGTGAGATCCCCCCAATATTGCTAAGGTCATTTTATTAGTCTCTGATCTGAACTCCAAGAGCTCACCTGGCAACGAAGCGAAAAGCAGAGTGTCAATATTTTCCCACACATATGCTCCAGCAAGCCACGTCAATGGTGTGGAAAGTTGTTTTTTTTAAAAAAGAAAAAGAAAGAAGACGATATAGTATTTTCCATCTGCAAACATCCTTTTAGTGGGGCTGCATGAACCGATGGAAAGCACTGATAATCACCCATGTGTCAGAAAAGGAAACAGGAAAAATAGCAATAAGAAAGCCCATCATACATTAAGACAACAAAAGGCTTTAGCTGCATAGTATTCTATTAATCTAGACAAAATGCTCTTTTTCCCACTCTCTCCCTGAAGGTCTAGGCATCCAATTTTTTTTACATTATTACTTTAGTAATATTAATCTGACAAACTGGTCCATCAATTGCCAAAAAATAGTAAGATATTGTTAAACTACTCAAGTTTAGCATAAAACAGGGTGTATTCAATATACCACCCTCTATTTAAAGGCCATAGGAGAGACAAACTATAACATCCCCTAACATGATCCTTAAATATTGAAGAAAGTTCTTTATTTCCCTCAGTATATTAAGGTCAAAGCAGACATGTCTCAGACTCTTTTCAGGTAGGATATTCATCAGTGTAATTGAAACTAATTTTCAGTGCTGTTTTTCTGAAGTACTAGTATTTTTACTAGTACTAGTATAGGCCTTAACATATTATAAGTTAGCTATTCAACCAGTTACACTTGCTCAAAATATAGCATACAGAGACCTGAAGCACTTCAAAACTATACAGTAATGTTAGCAGTATTTGAATACGATACCCTCATAGTAGATATAGATCTAGCTGTCTGGCAAATGTTCTCCTTCTACAGTAAAATGAATATACCGTAGTTCCAAACCAGTTATTCTTAGCTACTTGCTAGACCTATTTAAAAAATCATGTTTGAATCCACTATACATACAAATTATGTCATGTTAAGCAGTCAGGTTCTCAACAGTTATCCACAAGTTTGTAATCATAAGCAGATGTTTTTGTTCTAGGCAGGTCTAGTAAGAAACAACCCAGTGTATGTCAAACGATACCATGACATTATGCAGCTTTATCTACACCGAATCCCATAGATATTATTGGACTACATGTTTGGACTAGTATGTTAAAGTCATTATTTCAGATATTCCAATTTGCCTGTTCCAGCCACATGCTGAAGATTAGAACTGTAAATACAGTCACAAAGTCAGACATGCTTTTTTGTACATTTTCTGAAATGCATAGTTTTGTATACTAGGGGGCAGTGATCTAAAGCCTGTATTTTTAAGCCCATTGGGCTCCTGTAATTTTACTCCCTGTTCTACCTAATGGGTGGAATTTATTCCTTAGCCTTGTAATTGTGCAGTAAGTTCAAGTTGTGCTATAAAAGCCTACTTGATTTTTGCATTTTGCTATCACCCTGTTTGATGTGTAGTGGATGCTCCATCTTGTTGATTGTATTCACTTACACTGTGAGTCTTCTTGAGTCTCAATGAGAAAGGACTATAAACAGAATAAAATAAATGTGAAATATTGTTTAAAACACAACCAGAAATAGGGAAGAAGCAGATTTTAAAACAGTCAGATAAACAAAAGAGGTTTATAAAATTATGTATGGGTTACAGAAAATGGACAGAGAACCCCACCCCACTCCCCCACACACAGTAATTTAGTGTTCAGGGGCACCTAATGAAGCTGACAGGCAATAGATTAATGATGGACAAAGGGAAATATTTCTTTACTTAACAAATAATAAAGCCATGGAATTCACTAACAGTGTAGTGATGGCCATAAGCCTGGATAGCTTTAAAAGGGAGCTAGATGGATTCACGGAGGCAGTACACCTCTGAATGCCAGTCTTAGGAGGCAACGTGTGAAGAAGGCCTACATGTCCAGTTGTTGGTCCTCCAGGGTAACTGGTTGACCACTGTGTAAAACAGGATGCTGGACTAAATGGACCACTGGTCTGATCCAGCACAGCTCCTCTTATGTTCTAAAAGATGGGGGGGTTGGTCTATCCATCGGATATGTTCTCAATGCACAGACTAACTGATAATCTGTATCAACAACTCCCTGCATGAAGAACCACAATTGTTAACACCTGAGGAAATCCCTCAAAAGTATCCCCCAGTTTTGTGACTTTCTGAATAACAGGCAGTAGTATATTCCTGTCCCTCAGCAAGCAACAGACTAACCTGCTATACTGGCCCACAATTTACTTCTTTGTATCCAGTGACATAATCCCACAATTTTTCAGTCAATTTCACTAGGGAAATTTTCTTCACTCCAGATTTCTGTTTTTGCTGTCCATCTTCTACCAACAGTTTGCCTGGGGTTCGTTATCATTCAATTTTCAAATCACACAGAAACCATTAGGTATGATGTATAGATGGTACATGACTCCAAAGAAAATTGCAAATATGAACCAGAATATGTCAAATAAATGTTGGAAATGTAAGAACCATGAGGGCTCATTTTACCATATGTGGTGGACTTGTGAGAAAGCTGTAGACTTTTGGACAAAAGTCCACATTGAAATGCAAAAAATACTGAAATGC